TTCCTTGTTTTATCAATTTTAGGCGTTCTCGGCCCAGCTAAATATCAGAACTGTCTGTGATTCGCTAGCGCGGAAGAAATTTATTTGTGTGGCTTCCGGGCGATAATTGACGTAACGACAACATGTTGAGTGTTTGCTAACTCATAATAGTGGCCTGGTTTGTTTGAAGTTCAATCGATTCTTGATGTAGGAAGCTCTTGTTCAGTCCATTTAGGACGATGCAGGTTTTAGAAAGCTATAGATCAGCTCTCTGCCGCGGTTTTGACATCTGTACGTTCGTGTTGATTCAGACTCCAATTTCATGTTAAAAGCACACTTAATTAACTTGTACAATTTACGATTCAACGAAAAGACGAAGAATTTAGTCTTCCTGGCCTCAAAAGGCATACAGGAGAGTTATTTCCTTTTATTTGAGCTACGATAAGTCTTATGAAAAGCTAGCGCTGGGACAGAATTGTATCAAGATTATCAGCGACAAGTCAAATTCTGTGGCTTTGTTTTTGCGAATCCAGACAGAATTATTAAAATTAAATGTCACATAAGGGCTACTTTTTCGCTGAAATATAGAAGTAAATAACCGATTCGACTACTTACTATGCTCCTGTCGCAACGATTGACTAAGTTAACCCACAGTAAAGACAGTGAGGTCATTTAGGTGAAATCGCAGAGGTAAGCCTGTCTAAATTAGTGCCGCGAATCAAATGATCAATTTAAGCTCTAATTTAGCTTTGTTTGGCTCGTTCGAATCATTTACAGTGACTTCAAAGGCTTGATAGGCATGGTATGCCTCTGTTAACAGTGCACGAGGTAGGTAGCACTCTCAGTGCGACATGGCCATATTTATGTACACTATCTGACCGATTTTCCAAAAACATGCCCGCTATTTTGGTACAAAGTCTTTAACACGGTTTTCATAAATCCAGATATATTTATATTTGATATCTTTTAAGCTTTTTATATCTTACTAAGTTCATATATTTCATTTATTTATTTATTTATTTTATACATTAAATTTTATTCATTAAATTGTAAATAGTTTTAACTTTATGTAGCTAAGGTATATTTTCCTGTGTAAATAGTATACCCAATTAGCTTTTTTAAGCTAAATACTATTGACACTTTAATAAAGTCATTCATTTATTCATTCATTTTTTCAAGGCTATTTGTAAAGAGAATCAAGTCAGAGAATTTTACTTTAAGCTAATCCATCGCATTGCGGATACGAAGAAAGAGCTTACTCTCTATGGAATTACACACAATAATAGATGTTTTCACTGTGGTGAGCCTGACTCAGTTCTTCATACATTTCAAGACTGCAGCGCGACAACTTCTTTTCACAATCGGCTGTTGAACTGGTTCAATGAGATGCATAACACCTCAATATCCCCGG